AGGTAAATGAGTCAGGGGTTTTGTAGCCCCTTGCACTAAGACTCAAAACACAGCAATATGGAAGTAGTTAATGTGAAGCAGAGTCTTTCAAGTCATCAACTAGCTTAACATGGCTGATTTATTTTTTAGGGAAAAAAACAGTTTATTAATCACAGATGTGCATGTTTCTAGTGTTAAGAAAGCTGGGACTAGAATGAGAATTCCCATTTCCCTTCCAGTTTCAGAAATTTGCCTGTTTGTTGGAGGTAACTTTATCTTCTAGTTTGAGGGGGTCAGAACCCATGCTGCCTGCCCTTTTTCTTTAGCTTCAAAAATATATTTATGGACTCTGAGTGAACTCTCTGACCTCACCACCAGAGCAACATATGTGGTTTTTGCTTTCAGAGAAATGGCAGTTAAATGCCACTTATTGTGGCTATGAATTATAAAACAAAGCCCATCCGTTAGGTTTTTTTAATACTTTATTGAATTGCCAAACTTTCTCTACTTGAACAAGTAGCGATTTTATTAAATTCAGTGGTTTCTTTTTGGATTGGTGTTGCTGTGTGTGATCATTATATGTGTGTTGGGGGTTTTTTTTTCCCTCTCCAAGATGTCCATCTGTTGCATTTATCTTTTTCTAAAAGGGAATCTGATGCTCACGAGAAAGTTTACTGTACTTGAAACACAGTTGGGGTTAGCATACCCCGAATTTATTCCATCTGTTTTGGTTTTAAAATTCCATGTTGTTCTTGGTTTAATTTTGAATACTCCTTTTTCCTCTTAGCATGTCTTAGTGATAAAATATTCTTGAGCAACCCTAGAAAAACAATTTGCTATGTAGTCATAAAGGAAACAAAGCCAATTTTGTGTAAACAATCCCAAGCATGGTAATCAATCAAACCAAGTCTGTATCCCTAATTATATAGATAGAAGTAATAGATAGTGATGGGACAGGGAGAAATAAGACACACCCATGTGGCTGTTCTCACAGTGAAGGTGAAAGGTCTTTCTGTGCTCTTGAAAAGTGCCTGTATTGGATATGGATATTCCCTAATGCTTGGATCTGGCAATGCCTCTACATAAATCTATGAACTTGAGCACCTAGGTTTTGTACAAGTCTGTGCTTTAGTATTGTTACTGGGGTCCTGAGGAAGCAGATGGGAATAAGTAATTGGAGAATCTGGACTCCTGTCAACTGGGATGGGATGGGAAAATAGATGATAAAGGATCTCACTGGGAAAATATTGGCATGCAATATTTCTAGTGAGTGTTAACTCACTATGAGGCTGTAGGGATGTTTTCTGCACATTTAAGGAGGGGGGCAAAAAATCATGTCTGATCCTCTGAAGAGACTAGTGGGTTGGTATTCCATTCAGCTTAACACTAGTGATTTGAAATCTTTTTTTTTATACCTTTTTTTTTTAAAAAAAATATTTGATCTTTAGGCTGATGCTTTTACAGCAATGCAGTATTTTTATCTATTTTAAGAGGTGGTTTTATCAATGCATGCAAGTATCTTAAGGGTGGGTTTCAAGAGGATGGGGCCAGACTCTTTTTAGTTGTGCCCAGTGACAGGACAAACAGCAACGGGCACACACAGAAACACAGGAAGTCCACCTGAATATGAGAAAAGAACTTATTTGAGGGTGACAGAGCACTGAACAGGCTGCTCAGGGAGGTTGTGAAGTCTGGAGATACTCAAAACCTGTCTGGACACAATTCTGTGCATCCTGTTCTAGGTTAACCTGCTTTAGCAGGGGGCATGGACTAGATGATTTCCAGAGGTCCACGACCTCGTGATTTTCCTTGTCCCCCAGTGCTTTCATGCTTTAAAGAGCAAAGTGGAACAGTGCTAATACTTTGGTGTACTACTTGGACTATGTCCACTTTTATGATTCCCTGAAGCCCTAATAATACTTCAGTAAGTATTTCATATTAAATCATGCAGTAGAGAGGATGAGAAGTTACATGCTGCAAGCCAAGGGAAAACTAATGTTGTGTGGGAGGATATGGCTAAAGTATGTGCTGTGGAACATGTCTGGCTAACATTGTTTTGCCTCTTAGACCCTCTCCACTTGAGCACAGTATATGCATTTCTGCATGCTCTCTTCCTTCCTCCTGCCCACAAACTCTTGGCCAACTCAGGTTAAGAGTAGGAGTGGTAAAGCAAAAATACAGTCAGACAAAAATACTTGTCTTCCACAGTTTCAGAGGCTCTGCCCTGTACCACTCGGTTTCACAAGAAATTCAGTAGATCGTCAAAAGCATGGGTGAGAATTTGAGAAGGTGGAGCACACTTTTTATAAAAAGAAAAATGGGGTTACTAACTGCAGGCGTGTTACATGCTTAGGGATAGGCATGTTTATATAAAAGTAAATTTTATGCAGTTACTCTATCACCACACTGTCGTTTTGTTAGAAAGAAGTAATTGTAAAGAAATTAAAAATTAAGAAAACCCCAGATACTAAAATACAAACTAGTACATGGTGAACTTCTGCAAAGGCTTTATTTTTTTTAATATATAAACAAGTGAACATTCTGTGTTTTACTTGTATGGAAGGAACCTTGTATGAACCGTTATTGAGAGGAAAAATATATACAAATGAAAGAAATCTTGGCTGAGTGATTATAACATCTTCAAGCTTGGGAGTCTTGAAAACAGGGCATTTAATTTGTGCTTTAAGAAACTGGTTTATGAGAACAGCAGCACTGTGTTCTCCTCTTCTGTGTTCCACTAGCAGAGTAGCAGAAGATTATTTATGGAAATACTCATCAGCTGATTGCTGTAAGTTCTGAAACAAGGCATCTGATAAAAATTAAAATATGTGTGATACAGTAAAGGTAAAGTTGAATTTGGAGAAAGAGCAAACTAACTTCTTACAGAGGTTTAATAGGAGATTGTTTGGATTCCTGTGGAGAGCTTGCAGATGGTTGCAAGTTTTGTTTGGAATTTTTTTAATAAGCAGACTTTTTTTTTTAATCAAGTAAAAAGTCTGTCGTGATGTGGATGCTGATGGCTAATAGGCTTGCTTTTCTTGCATATGTGCTGAGAACCCTTAAGCAGTGTTCCAGGGGCCTTGAGGGATACTCAGATTGCAAGTTGAAAACCATTGTTATAGATAATTAATTTCTTCCTTATGTTTCCTGCTTCAACAAGAAAATAATGTGGTAATTCTGTAGCACTAGTATCCCAAGATTTAGAAACAAAGACAACTAGGGTAGCTCTGCATCTGCTTTTTAGGAGTACCCATTTCTTAAAGGCTTGAAACCACGTTAATGGCATCATGGGAAGTCTCCTTACCTGTCTGTGGAACTGCTACAGCTGTGGCTAGAAGATAATTCTGTAGATGAATCCTGATTTTAGGAGACTTGCTTTAAAGTGTTAGTAGCTAGCTTGTTAGACTGAAAGTATGCTTTATAAAGTTTATCTTCTGCTTGATGGAAACATGGTGAAAGTGGTGGTTAACAGCAGTTATGTATGTGTCCATAGAGTATAAGCTACAGGAGTTCTTGGCATCAAAGCTGGTGTATCTTAATGGTGACATGCCATGGGTTTTATTGGAATAGAGAAAAAGTTTTACAAACAGCCTGATAGATCACAGTTTTGGATTCCAAGGAAAGTGTACCCTATTTGTAGCAGCTTGAACAGTGAAGGAAAAATAAAAAGTCCTAACTTCTTATATTCACGTTTTATGGCTCTTTCCCCATCTCCATTCAAAACCATCATTTACACTTAGTGTTCTGTGGAAACAGAACAGGCTTACATACTTGTGTGTGGATCCAGGCATTTGGGTGTTTATGATGAAGTGTGTTGCTACATCAGTGTGACCATATTATTCTACAAAATTCAAACTACCCCTGGTCAGACTGGCAGTACTCCTCTTAGGAAAAAGCTGCCAGAAGAGGTGACCTGAACATCTGTGTTAAGCTTCAAGGAGGAACATAAGCACTGCATTTAACTCTCAGCAGTAGAAACATTCAACAAAACATTATTTATGTCATCCTTATGTAAACTGTCTGCAAAAGTGCACACACAGGGGGAACAAAACCCCACCATATTTGACAACCTAGGAGAGTCTTGTTAATACCCTAGTGGTAGAAAATATTTGTAGGAGTGGTGTTACAAGAGTGTATCCCCTTCAAAAAGTATGTTTTTTGGAAAAGGGAATTGCTGGGGGGAAAAGCATTGTGCTGCATGGGGATTAAAGAAACCTAGTCTCACAAAAGCTGGCCAGTGGGTGTTCATCATAAGCATATAGTCCTGTTCAAGTGACAGGAACCTTGGGGGGAAAGTATTCTTGACCTCATGCACATTTAACTATGGCTTGAGAAAAGCCTATCCTTTGTTTCATTACAGAACTTCAAGCGTGTCATGCTGAGAACTACTGCTGATCGTGAGATTTCAGCAAATGAGCTTTTAAACATTGATGCTCTGTGCCTTTTTTTAAAAAAAACAAACAAAGCAAAATCAAAACTCTGAGAAGATATAAGCAAAAGACAGACATTTAGCTGTCTTCTGGATTCTTCTTTCCCCTGTCCCAAGGGTAGGGGAAATAAATAAATAATGAAAGTAACTGGAGCATTTGTAATAAAGTTTGGTGTCTGAGAAATGATTTACTTATCTCATTGAGGCAATTATTGTTACTCTGCATGTCTTTGCTCAAAGCAGTAAACATTAGAAGTTGAAACAAGCATATCCTTCCATAAAGTTAGATGACATATGGAAAGTATAATTCACTATCAAATAAGTATCAGCAGTGGGAAGTAGGAATTATAATTGAGGCAGAAGCAATGGAGCTTGACTGTTACAAGCATATAAATGGTGCTTATGTGTGGGCGGCCGTGTGCAGCATGAACACTGATAGTTGTGGTGTTGCTAAAGGTCAGATTATCTCAAAATAATCTGCTCGATTTGTCCATAAATCCAATCCAATATCCGTTATTGCATATGTCTTTTGCCTCGTTTCTCACTTACCGTTGTTTTTAGCTTTAAAATGTTCCCCTTGTTCTTTTTCCAGACTCCCTTTCCGTCTCCAGCAATGATGCCAGTCCTCCAGCTTCAGTAACATCGCTTCAGCCCCACATGATCGGTGCTCAGAGCTCCCCAGGCCCCAAGCGCCCTGGCAACACCTTGAGGAAATGGCTTACCAGTCCTGTGAGGCGTCTGAGCAGTGGGAAAGCAGATGGGCATGTCAAAAAACTGGCCCACAAGCATAAGAAGAGTAGAGAGGTTCGTAAAAGTGCCGATGCAGGCTCTCAGAAGGACTCCGACGATAGTGCAGCGACCCCACAGGATGAAACTGTTGAAGAGGTGAGTTCAGGACAGCTTCCCAAGACTTGTTTTTATGTTTTTGAAAGGTGCCAGGTGGAGGTTGTCTGCAGCCGCCTCCTGGCTGTCCAGCAGTTGAGCAAAGCAGTGTGTGCCCTGTGCTCAGTTCCTGACAACTGCTGTACTCTGCATAAGTACTGTGCCAGGGACAATTTGTGCCCTCTGCATTGAGAATGTTGGTGAAGCTCTGTCAAGGCTCTCTAGTTGAAAAAGAGAAATGGGAGAGAAAAAAATCATTCTTTGGCTTTGCTCTCTTATCCTAATTAGGAAAGCATCTTTGTGAGTCAAGGTACTTCAAGGTCTGGGAATAATCAGGTCACTTTGTATTTCTTTTACTTGTTGATGGATCAGGCAGAGTAAAGGGAGAGCTGCTTAACTGCTTAAAGCAGGAGTCAGAGCGCAGAAAAATTACTGGCCCTTCAAATTAAAAGATATTTGACCATTGGTCAAAGAATATGTGTGGCAGTTTTCATTGGAGGGAAGGAAATTGTGAACTGTTCAAAATTATGCCACGAAGGACATCTAGTGAGGGCTTCCCTTCCACAAACGTGCTCCTCCTTCTAAGCCTGGAGCTCATGTACGAACAAAGCCAGCCTCCAGTTAGGTGCAGACAGAGCCTAGTTCCCTTCTGACACAAACCTATGGTTCAGGCTGAAATGCACAGCATCTTGCTGCTTCCAAGGGCACAGCCAGATGCATGCAATACAGTTCCTCCCTTTTGTCAGGATTGACTCTTGTCTACTGGTTTTGGTACTTACCATGCAAAAGAGTGGTCTCAAGTGCCCAGTTTTTTATTTACTGCATTTTCTTTTTTCCTCCCAGCATACTTTGCTACAAGCTTGGAACATTAGTAAAGTTAAACAGTAAGTGTGGGGAAAGGAAAGACTAGAGACTTGGCAGGATGGTGAATTGAGAGATGTTGTTTAGAAATTAATATTGGCATCTGTCCTTGAATGCCAGGCTGTAGAAAGAGACCCTCTCTGCTGCAGTTGTGGCATTGTTTTGGAAGGATCTGTTATTCTGCAGTTCCATGAGTGAGGGGAAAGTCTAAGGCCACTGCTTTAAAGTCAGGAAAAATCAGTAACCATCTATGCTGTCTTCCTGTAAAAATAGATAAATTATCCTGTGAGATCAGTTACATTAAACTTTGGGTACTTGAAAACATAGATTCTTGTGGAGGACAAAAGATATTTGACAGAAATGCTGTAGTAGGGGTTTTTTTATATCTTTTAGAAGTCTTGCTATGATACATATCAAGATACGTATTTTCAAGAGATGTATGTTTGTCTTGACAGAACTAAACTTGGAAAGCAAGGATGGCTTTGGCAACATTTTCTTGTAGTAAATTTCAAGTTGAATGTCTTGTTCTTAAGTATCTCAATCCATCTGCTTTTACCAAACACTGAAAACTGTCTTTGGCATCTGTATTTTCCTTCTCTGTTGCGGAGTTCCACCATGTTTGTAGGATCATCTTGACTTGTTGGGAGAGGGGCGAAACTACAGAACCAACTTTTTTAAGAGAAGTACATGGTAACAAGCTTCATGCTGTTGAGGAGATAACAGAGCTTGAATGTCTTGATGTTATTTACAGAGAGGTCGGAATGAAGGGCTGAGCAGTGGCACTCTCTCCAAGTCATCCTCTTCAGGCATGCAGAGCTGCGGAGAGGAGGAAGGCGAAGAGGGAGCGGATGCTGTACCACTGCCTCCTCCGATGGCAATTCAGCAACACAGTCTTCTCCAGCCTGACTCGCAGGATGACAAGGTAGGAGGAGGAAGTGGGGAAGGCTTCACATTTTGAGATAACCTCTGTTTGCACAAATCTTTCTTCTGTTTCCAGAAGTCTCTGTAATGTAAGTAATACAGCTCTGTGGTAGACAGAAGTAATCACTATACCACTTTAGACAGCATTAAAAGAGTGTCCTGTGAAAGGAACATGAATTAAATGCTTCTCTATTTTAAAAGCACAAGTGCAGAAATTTTTCTGCTAGCACTTTAGGTGTGGAAATCGTCTGCTTTGTGTGTTCACAGGTCTGTTTACATCTGTTTGACTGATGCCATATTTAGTGATTAGAATCTAATTGTTTTATAATCATACCTTTTTTAATTTATTTGGGGGAGGGACTGTGCCTAAGTGAAAGGAATTACCAAATATGGATAATAATTGTCATGGTTTAACCCCACTGGCAGCTAAGCCCTCTACAGCCACTGCTCACTCTTCCTATGGGATGAGAATCAGAGGAGGAAGAGTGGGAAAACTCATGGGTTGAGACACAGACAGTTTAATAGGGAAAACAAAAGTCATGCACACAAGCAAGGCGAAACAAGGAATTCATTCACCCTTCCCATGGACAGGAGGTGTTCAGAGACCCCCAGGAAAGCAGGGCTCCACCACGTGTAACAGTGGCTTGGGAAACAAATACCATCATTCCAAACATCTCTCCCTTCCTTCTGCTTCCCCTGGCTTTATATGCTGAGCATGGTGCCACATGGTATAGGGTATTCCTTTGGTGAGTTGGGGGTCAGCTGTCCTGACTGCATCCCCTCCCAGTTTCCCATGCACCCCCAGCCTCCTGGCTGGGGGAGCAGAAAAGTCCTTGGTTCTGTGTAAATGCTGCTTGGCAATAGCTAAAGCATCCCTAAGTTATTAACACTGTTTCCAGCACAAATTCAAAACATGGCCCCATACCAGCTACTGTGAAGAAATTTAACTCTCCCCAGCCAAAACCAGCACACAGTCCATCTGGTTTTTACAAACAAAGGCGCATTAAAATTGAGGGTGAAAATTTTGCATCAGTAATGAAATTTTGGAATTAGGTAGCAACTACGTGAAGGAAATCTTACTTGCATGTGATCTGTTTTTCTTTAATGTTATGATATTCAGACATTGAGAGGGTTTATTTCAACTTTCAACCTGGATCAAACATTTAGGGGACAAGTATCAAGTCTGGAAATACAGGTTTAGAAGGAAAACGATCTGAACTTGTGCAGCAAGTACACACATTACTGTTTTCTTCCCATTTTGCTCCTTAAAATTTTTAACCATTGTAATCTACAGCAGTGCATACTGTTAGTGAATTTTGTGACTGGTTGTTCTATATTCTCAGTGATGCAGATGTAATTCATAACTTTGGCTGATCTTATTTATTTTGGGGTTTTTCCTTTTAAAAACACTGCCTTTCAGTGGGAGTCTTGCTCATCTCTGAAGCTGTCGTTTGTAGGATCAAAGTGGCTGGTTCCTATTCTCTGTGTGTTTAATTCCTATGTGTTTTCCAAATTGTAAAAGTGTAACATATGGGTTGGAGAGTTAATACTGGGAAATATTCCTGAAAGAAAACAAGCAAAAACAGACCAGCCTTTAGACCTGAGAGAGTGTTTTCTTGCTAGAATTTAACAATCTCAGTTTGAGATTTAGAAATAGGCTGAAAATAGTA